TATAACATAAGGAAAATAAAAGTAAAACAATATTTACTGGATTTTGGATTAATTTTGCAATGTTTAAGAAATATGTATTATTGAATTCTTTTAATTACAAATTTTATAGATTGAAGATATACGAAGAAAGTGTAATTGATAGAACTTTTGTAGTGTGAAAGATAGAACGAAAGTTTTATGTGAAATAAAAAAATTGGCAAGTTCATCTTTTAAAAAGCACAGTTCAATACATATTTGTAATATTGCATATTGTATATTTTGTAATTTGATACGAATAAATTTATGAAATAGAATATCGTATATGTAATATCAAAAAGGAGCCTGTGATTGGTTAATATTTTATTTTATGAGAAAATGCGTTACCCCAAATAAACACACTATTTAGGTGTATTTACGTAGCATTCATTTTATGCATATGCATACTTGCCTTTATGCTTTGTTGCGTACTTTTAATTGTATACCTTGATTAATTTAAACAAGACATTTCATTTTTGTCTTTGTTTATGTAAATTTAATTACATTCTCTACGTTTAACGGTGGATCGTATTTCAACAAATCGATGTATCGAATCAACATCTATCGATACAATTTTCTCACTACACATGCCTTCCGAATGTTAATAAAATGGAAAATATTAAAGGAGCTTGAATTCGAAGTTTAAATAAATATAATTTGTGATAAATACGCCCGGTGGTTAAATGTGCCCTGAAATTAATGTGATGTCGACTGTGTGTGATGGCGGGTAAAGAGTTAGTAAGCCATCAACAGCAGTTTGTTGAAGAAATTAACTATGATGAAATTGAAACCGAGCAGGTATCTTAATTATGCAGTAATTCCTTTTATTGTTAAAAACAAAATAAATTTAAACTTTCAGTTACAACTTAATTAGTAATTATAAAATGTTGCATTTCATTACTCATAATTTTTATAATTTATTCTTATTGATCATATGGTGGTCTTTTTTAAAACATAACCTAAATAACAATTTTCGAATATTTTTTAAGTAAGCTGTTGATGTTGACAAAGTTCATTTTGACATTTTTACACGTTTAAATTAATATTTACATTTGGATGATGTATTTTAATTTAAAATATCATTGAATTGAGAAGTATTTTGCATTTCTTTTCTTTCTGTTTAAATTAATTGTAAATATATATCAGTTTTTTAATTTTACGTACATTATATAAAATTAATTTAGTGTAATGGTAATAAAATTAACTAATGCAGTACAGGATATTTAAAAATGTTAATTGAAATATTAGATACTTTAAGTTTTGTACTTTTTTAATTTGTTGTTTTTTGTTGAAATTACATGTAGCTATTATGCTAATATAACTTAATTAATATTTTTTACTTGTTTAATTATTCATAATGAATACATAAAAATCTGAGACGCATTAAATTAAGTTAATAATATAATAGATTAATTATTTATTGTTTTTTATGCAGGTAGTGGGGAAAGGTTCTTTTGGAGTAGTATGGAAAGGAAAATGGAGAGGACAATATGTTGCTATAAAATACATAAATTCAGAAGGCGAAAAAAAGGCCTTTACAGTAGAAGTTAGGCAATTATCTAGAGTTGTACATCCTAATATTGTAAAACTTTATGGTGCCTGTACTAAAAATCCAGTTTGTCTGGTAATGGAATATGCAGAAGGCGGTTCCTTATATAATGGTACTTTTCTCTTTTTCCAATTTTATAAAGCTTTAGCCTTGCCTTTTTATGTCAATTATTTAGTAGCTAAAGAAGGATTAAAAAAAAAATAATTTTTTACTTTTGTATTGATTATGAGAAAAATTTTGATATAATTTTATTGTTTTTGCTAAATTATCCATATTATTTAGTTATTTTTTGTTTGTTTGTTACATCCTTTTTAACAACGTTTAATATTGTCTAATAGTTAAATGAAATAGTTTTTGCATTATTACTTCTTAATTGTCATTTAATAATAATATATGAAATTTCATTTATTTGATACATTACATTTATTCCTGTCTCATACTATTTTAGTATCATTAAGTGTCATAATTTTACCTTTTTTGTATTTTACAGTTCTGCATTGTAATCCTCAGCCCCGATATACTGCAGGTCATGCAATGAGTTGGGCTTTACAATGTGCCCGTGGTGTTGCATATCTCCACAATATGAAACCAAAACCTCTAATTCACAGGTAAGATAAAATAGTTTTTCTAAATACTTTTTATTTCTTGAAAACTTATTTAGAAATAAAAATTTTATATTTCACTCAAATTATGTCTGTTATATTGAATACAATTTTTGTTTATGTTTACAGAGATTTAAAACCACCAAATTTGTTGTTGGTAATGGGTGGACAAACACTTAAAATTTGTGATTTTGGCACAGCCTGTGATTTAAATACCTATATGACTAATAATAAAGGTTCAGCTGCTTGGATGGCTCCAGAAGTATTTGAAGGTTCTAGATATACAGAAAAATGTGATGTGTTTAGTTGGGGTGTCATTTTGTGGGAGATATTGTCAAGAAAGAAACCTTTTGATGAAATTGGTGGTTCAGCATATAGAATAATGTGGGCTGTACATGTGGGTCAAAGACCTCCTTTGATTGAAGGTTGTCCAAAACCAATTGAAGATCTTATGACCAGGTATTTATTAGTGTTGATAATTATTTTTTTATTAATAAAATATATTAATTAAAAACA